AAGGTTAAACTCAGCGCTCTGCCTAATACCTAAAGCTGAATTAAATGACATATCAGGAGGAGGAAGAAAAAAAAACTCCTGACGAGCGGAAAAATGTGTGGGGGAGGAGGCATTATCTTAAAGTTGTGATCTTATGTCCTTTTTTCCCACAGCAGTGTGGCTGGTGAGGTCGCGCGCTACCGTTCAATCATTCTGCCGCTATGACAGGCAACATTCCCCCCGCCGGCGGCCGCAAACATCATCCCTGGGCTCCCTCCATTAAATAAATTGTGCTGTAATAATCTCTTGGCTCCTCATATTCGTGGAAGAGCACAGCCGCCTATTTTGATTACCCTACTTTCAGGCCAAAGCCAGAACCATCTGTAATCCCCATGTTTTACCCTCACTAAATTAAAAGGAGGAATTATTTAATGGACACCGAAAGGAATAGTGTCATCCATCCTATGTAGTTTCAAAATGTTTTTTTCTCTCTCTTTGTGCATATTTGCACCACAGTGGCCACCAAGACAACAGTCCGTGCAGGGCACACTCTATGTCAGGACTCAATACACCTTTTATCCAAAAACAATATAGTCTCATATGAATCATATAATCAACACCATGGAAAATGAATGATTGGAAAAAACGATCAAAAGCCAAACAAATGGGGCTTCGATTGTCCTCACATTCCTACTACTGTATCCGTACCTCGCCTTGACCTTTGCGGAACTCCCACCCAGTCAATGACTCCTGCCACAACGAGGGGGATCACCCGCGCTGCAGCCATGTACGTTTCTCCATCTCATTTTTCAATAAATCCACCGACAGCAAGCCCCAGGCCCCAGGAGACCCAAATAAATCAATAGCAAACATGCTCTCAAATCAACAGTATTCAACTTGACTGAAATAGAGAATGATGTTATTAAATCTGATCCCATACGGTCACGAACGCAATACACACACTGACACACGGATACACAAAAGAACACTCTGGTACAGCCTGTAAGAGTTGGTTGCTGCTAATGAGCTATGGACTGTTCAAATTGTGCAGTATCTCAAATTTATCGAGGAAATCAAAGTCGTGGGATTTATGCACCCCTCCCCCTCCCACACACACACACACACACACACACACACACCTTCGATTCCCCACAAAATAAAGGCTCCGTCGCAAAAGTCAAACCCCACCATGCTACTTGTGAGAAGCTGTCCAATAAAGATATTTTCAACAGGGCTCTTGACTCATTTTAGCAAGACAATGAAGCATTAAATAAAAAACTGATTAAATTACTAGGCAACATGAAATGCCTCCAGGAACGCGAAGGTGCACGTTCTCATTTAGTCATCACTTTGCCTAGTCGGTGATTTCCTTTGACGCTCTCGCAGCCTTAAAGCGCCCACTGGTTAAAGCTCCACATTTCTTTAATGGATTCTCAGAAAAAAAGAACAGAAGTTGTACGATGTCTTTTTCGGAGGATGTATTTTTGCAAACGTCTAGGTGTGTGTCTTCTGGGAAACTGAGCTCGATGTGTGGGAGGAATAAAAGGCTGTTGGAAATGTGGACTTTACAAAGGGGATGGAAGGATTCGCTCGACTGCCGCAAAGGGATTTAACTGATTGACAAAAACTCAACAGACCTCCCGCCCCCTCTCTGATAGGCAACGTGCTTCAAGAGGAAAAATAGGGGATAAATAGATCCTTCAGTGCCAAAAAAAAAAAGTTCTAATGTGCGACACCTTCCATTCTATCTCCCAAGGGAAATGTGCAAGACCTTCCAACAGATGTGTCCTCTGGGTTCTGAATCACAAGATAATTAAAAGGCACTTGACGATCAGAGGGATCCATTCTAATATTGCGCCGCGTCACTTGTCTGGAACTCTCCACAATGCTGCTGCATTGATAGAATCCCCTCAAAGAGCTTCACACAACAACAGGTACGAAAGAAATCCCCTGGTTTTCATCATGCAGATAGAGGATCCACTGTGGGAAGACTCTCAATTCATCAATCAAGCACAGCAATATTCCTCAAAACGGGACAATGAACATTGTGAGACTTTTATCAATCTCTATTTACGGCGGCGGACATGCAGCTTCGATAGGTCTCAGCACACTTTATGGTACAGCAGCTTTGTAAGCCACATTTTTTAGGATAGATAGTGACAAGAAAGCACTGAGTGAGTAGCAGGGCACAGACGGCCGTCATCCCGACGACCATCAGTCATATGTGTTTTCCAACAATCCTTTTAAACCCACACTGATTTTTTATGGTCAGCATGTGCTTGAGGACAGTTATAATTGTCCTTATTTAAAAGACTGCAAACGAATCTGTCATAATGTAGGAAGGCTTGTTCTTTTTCCAGTTGAACTGACCACATCTGCTCACTGGGAGATGTTCATAATCGAACGAGGCTGTTCAGCTTTGGATCTGGAAATGAGGCTGTAGATTGGATTATGATGCCATTTTTAATCCGTCTTTTTCCCTTGCAAGATATTGCTCCACCCTCGGTTCTTAGCGTTATACAATACTTGACAAGAGCAGATTTTGCTGAATTTTGGAGCACTGATGACTAGTGATTCCTTGTGACACTCTAATTTGAGCTTATAGTGCCAAAGCTTTGATGCAGACATGGGAATAAAACTTTTCCTCTCAGAAACCCTTCTCTCCTCCCGGACCATTAAAAGGGTCCCCTATCATCTCCTTGTGTACATTAATTACTGTCATCTTGTCCCGTCTCTGATCCTGATTTGAGAAAAAATAGGCACCCAAAGCGCTCCTTTTTCCTTCAGTTCATTAAAAATAAAATACAAGCTTTAAGTCGTCTCCTCACGGCAAGTTAACTCAATGACACGATGTACTATTTGTCCCCTCTCTCTCTCTCTCTCATGACGAGTTTCACTTTATTTGAAGCACTTTTATACTGATAAAAGGAATCAACTTCCTTTATTAATGAATTAATCAGTTTACATGCCTTTTTCATGTTGGTCACACGCATGAAATGCATAATAATCCTTTCCCATAATTACCCTAAGCACAGCCGCAATAGTTTTACTTTACTGATTGAGTTCCCAATCCGTGGTTGTAATTGTGGAGCTGGGTGATTATGATAGAGTCGAGTGACTGAACCACACGCAAACTGCTCTCAAATCTGCTAAATGTTTAATCATGGTAATATACGGTATCCACGCTCAGAACCTGCATAAGTGGCTAACCTAATTTTTTAGAGCACTCCCCTCTCAGTACATTTAGCATTTTGATAGATCTCACTGAGAGAGTCAAACATGTGCGATGCGAAGCCTTCTTCAAGCATCTTGCTCAAAGACACTTCAAAACTGATGACTGGTGCCAAATAACTGACCTTTCAGTATCAGGACAGTCTCCCCCAGCCCCAAATCACCCTTTCTCGTGACATTTAACATAGTGCGTAAGAGAGCAGAGGGGGGTTGGACGAAACACAACCGGCTAGAAGGAGCACACACCAAAAATGGCAAACTGTCCAACGCATGTCTCACTTCCTGTCCAAACTATGGGTTTGGATGAAGGAAACACTAATCAGGTTAACGTTTAAGTACTTCAATACATTTACAAATACTTTTACAGTCGATCGTTTAAAAAAAGTACTTTTCATAACAGCAGAAGACAGCTGAAAAAATGAGTCCATCATTGGAAAAGGTCCACAGCGTTATTTGTCTTTCTATTCCGGGAAGAGTCCAGGCCTCTCACACTGACACTCCGGGCCTAGAGCGACTCACACTTCAACTCACATGTCTCTCTAAGTCAGACATCTTGTACTTGAGGTGGAAAAACACACCTTTGTGGTAAGTGAGGATAGAACACCAGAAACCATCCTAGCCAATAAAGCCCCGGGCCGACTGGACCACGCTCAGCCAAGGAGACATAGTGTTTGTAACTGAGAAGACTGAGCATGCATTAAAAGATAGGCGCATATATGAACTGCTTGTAATGAAAGCATTTACCTGTATTGTTAAAATAAGAGGAAAATGTCCTCAGTAATATAAAAAAGATTCAGTACCTCACAATACAGGCTATGAAGTTGTCAAAAAAAGTAATTCAATTAAGATACATTGATGGAAGCAAATTCTATGAGCGCTTTTCAGTCAAAACCGGATAATTACATTAAGATCAACATCGTAACACAATGGTGTGTTTAGTGCGTGGAGTTTGTAGTTTAAGCCACAGCACTGCTATGTATTGTAAGGAACTTACAAAAAAGAAAAGTCTACACACGCAGCTGAATGAAACGCATTGTATGAAAACCATTCTAAAATGGATGAAAGACCTTCCATCTAGTCTGAGCCTCGGCTGTGAATCTGATGCAGATGGCCAATAACAAACTCAAGGGCACTGACAACAGAGCAAAATCTGTGGGCCAACAAAGATGCTCACGGACTCTCTATCTGGCAGCCGCAGTTTGTAACTTAAGAAGACAACACTATTAAATGTGGACATATGCATCGGTCATTTCATAACACACACCACAACTTCTACTATTAATCCAAATAAAAATGCGTAGCCATTGTATGTTTGGAAAGACCCTGTTTTGAAAAGAATAAAAAGTCAATTATAAATAGGCCTGTGGAGACTATATGAAGGCCTAATTTCTAGCCCTAATAAATGATAAACTGAGCACATGTTTTATTAAATAAAGAACAAACCATTAAAAAGTTTCCTTCATGCATCCACCTGGATATCATTCTCCAAGATAGTATTGTGCTGATTAGCAATGGTTGTGTAATTAGTGTATTGTTTAACACAGGAAGGCCTTTTGAGTAAGATGTCCTTATTCTTAAACTAAACCTATGTAATTCATAGATTGCGTTACGGCAATAAGACAAACACATTAAATAATCAATTAAACTGTTTTTTATAAAGCAGTAAAGTCAGTTGATTACTTTGTCATCAATGATGCTCTTAAACCATAATCTAACACACTTAAACACGTCACATCACGTGACAGCGAATGCGGAACACATTTGGTTGTTCGGAGAGAATTGGCTTTTACCTGAAATCACTGTACGGGTGAATTATCCAAAATCCTGCGGATTTAACCCGCTCTTGTTCCCGTTCGACCGCCTTCTCACTTCCAAACATCCTCAGGGAGAACTTGTTGACCCCGGGTTGGAGCATTGCTCCAAACTGTCGGTGTATGAACCCTGCTTGATATAATCTCTCGTCGTCCGGCAGGATTTGATCAATGCCATCCAACTTTATAAACCCTGCTTCCTGGTCCGCGGAGTCTTTTTGGGCGCCAACGCCGCCGCTGGCCCCTTGCGCGCCTTGATCCGACGGGCCATCGCCGATGGCCCCGGGGGGGCTCTCCTCGCTCGGGGTGACATCCCCCTCGGTGATCAAGCGCCTCTGCTCCGCCGCGTCGGAGTCGTGCACATGGCGACTTGTGATGGACGAGAGGCTGCCTCGAAATCTCCGACAGTCTCCATTTGAGCTGGTCTTCATCGGTCTCCCCATGTCCGTCTCCATGATCACAGACTCCCCACTTTTGGTCTCCCCGATGCCTTTGCAGCTTCCCCCAGAGGTCGGCATCGGTGACGGCAAAGGCTTCATCCTAAGACTCTTCCTCCGGGTGTCCTTGTCTGCGTCTTCATCTTCGCCCATTATGGATGCTCTCTGTCCGATGTGCTGTGGCAAACTGTAGAGCCTTTTACGCATGGAGGAGTGTAACCTGTCCATTATGACATTGAGACTTAGTGGGGGGAATTCAATAAATCCAGATTGTTACGCTGTATAGTAACGAGTCCTGCGACCGGCTCCGCGCTCCCTATCTATTTGTGAGAGCGAACAGTCTGAAGCAAATCGGAATCCCTGAAAACCCGCTGCCACACATGACATGGACCGCCGCAGCTCCACGGGAACAGATCAGAGATACTCTTTCACATAATTAGACTACCGGGCAGTTTGCATTATGCCCTCGCGCACAGCCTGGGCGGTCCACTTGGCCCCTGCGTCCCCGATGTGCATCTTTGTGCCGTGCCGTTATCGTGCGCAAAAGTGGAAAAAACTGCTTGAAAGTCACCTTAGCGTGACATGTGAGGGACGTGCCGGCGGACGGCAGTACGGAGACGAGGGAAAGGTCATGCACGACGAAGGATGCTCCTTTCACCGGCTGTCTTGCCGGCTGCCATCAAAAACATAGCGGCACAATCCTGCGAAATACAGTAGAGCATTCCAGGGACCGCTGACATCACTGATCCATAGTCATGGTGCGTTTTGGCGAATTGTGAATATTCATGATGCTGATCTATTGGGTTGCCATAGGAGCGAGAACTGCAAATAAGCTCAGCCCACCTTGTTTAAAGGGGTATGCTCTTCCCATTCTTAAAAGGCTGTCCTGTCCTCATGAGTTAAGGTTACAGGTAAAGGCAATGCAAATGAGTCAGCCCATGCGGAGGGCTTTAGTTAGTTTAGAAAAACACATCGCCACAATGTCCGTGCGTCCGATCCGCTGCGTAATTTGCGCAGGCACGTGCAGTGAAGTTGGAAAAGACTTCGTCCATTCTTCAGTGTTTTATACTATAATACCTGCTATCGACCTCTAAAATATCAATACGTGAAAATAAGATGGCTACTTTATACATGTATAAGTATGTGTTCAATTAAGTTTTTAGAGTTATTTTGCCTCTCTTGTAAAGTTACCACCTGGAACTGAGAACATTCGGATGTGGATCAGTGGACAGCAGCGCCTTCCTTTAAACAAGGATCGGCTGTGTGTGATGAATACTATTTTTTGGTGGGTAGGTGGCTCTGTGTATGATGGCTCGTGTCATCAGTGCATGAATACTGTCCATTTACCAACTAACTAACAAATCAAGCCAAATCCATATAGGCTATCTGGTGTATCCAATATTAATCTTGCACGATAACAGCTACGGCACAACGTACACGGCACAACAACAATATAAATAACTTTATCAGCCGCATTTTCATAGATATTTCTATCTGAATAGCTTTACTTATCAAATTCAAAATGTGGCTTTGTTTGCCAGGTGTTGTCGAAAGCGCCAAACAATTTATCCACATATTTGGAAAGGAATTATACACAATAATAGCATTTTCAATTTCAACATAACATATATTTACCAAAAAACAAACAAGCTGAGCTACTTTGACAGTCGAATATATTGATACCGTGTAAGCAATACATTTTTTTTTTTTTTTTACATTTTTACGGTAACACGTGCGCGCTCGCCCAAACACGCTGACGTTACACACTTTTTATCGCATAAAGTCCCGCTTCCGCTGGGAAACACACGTCGGCAAAGAGTCTCCAGCGCTCCTGGAAATGTCCGCCTGCCAGTCGTGGAGGTTAACGCGCTACGGCCGCTTCGTGCCGGGCTCCACGGGGGAGCAGCCATGGAAGGTAACTCCCACGCAACGTGTCGGAAGAAGCTACCGGTGTCAGTCGGCTGGTTAGCCAGCTAGCATGTGTGAGCTAGCTTAGCTAGCTAACAGCTAACGTGAGCTTTAGTCGGACATTAAACTATTATCTAATTAATTCAAACTTACTTTGGAATTAAGTTTAAGGACGACGTCTGAATGAATCCCTCTGTAATAATCAGATTATAGCTATTTAGTTGATGGGCAAGTGGAAAGTTTGGTGCATGTTGGATAAGTTTACTGAAGTGGAGGATGTGTAGAAAGTCATTTAGAGATAAACGGTTTTATAAAGATGTGTGTGATACACACCAAATATCATATAGCTCAATACTATGGAGAGTAGAGTTGAATTAATAATACACAATCAATTCAACTTCCCCAATTGATTACTTGCAGACGGGTTATTTTGTTCTTTAATTGAATGTTTAATAATGTAAACGGGGCATTATCTAACTCTCACTTTTGGTAAATTAAGGATGATTCTTAAGTTGCAAATACTCAAAGTGTAAGATAAAGCACTTAATGTGTATTTGGGATGTTTTCTTTCCACTACCTGAGACAAGACTTGTTCTGGAGGCAAAATGGCCCATCCCCACCCTATTTTTATTTTTCAATTTTCGTATTACTGAAAATGCTTATTTTTCCAAAGAAAAATTACGTAATTCACTTGAATATATTCAAAAGAGAAAAGCAGCTATACACTATGAAAATTATTTGGAGCCTCTTTGCTTTTATGCTGGAGCGAAATCATGTTAACTGCCAAGACTTTTGTTTGATGCAGTAATTCCCAGCCCTGTTTTAAATTCAGTTTTAGTATTCACATGCTGGTTGATACAAAAAACAAAACACACACACACACACACACACACACTTCAAGATGCAACAACACAACTCCAGAATAGAATACAGCAGCAGTTTCAGCAAAATAATTTGAGAGAGGCAGCATGTGAAGCAGCTTTGGCCTGAGTGGCTTTTTAAAACCAGATATTTGAATGTGTCAAAGTCGAAAACTAAATTAGTGATGGATCTGTTCCATTTGAAGCGTCGTAGTAAACAATGGCAGTGTGACAGTGAGACAAGCGTGCACAAAACGCTGGGAAATCCCAGACAGCTAAATTAGATTCAGCCATCAGTTTTATTATTTAAGCGCTGTGCTGTTCCTGCTGGGACATGTTGAACGAGTAACAAAAACATAGGCAGGATGGAGATGAACTGCGCCTCACCTGGAAAGTAGCTTAGAAGAACAAAGGGATCCGATTTGTAGGCTACTTGTGGTTCACAGATGTATCGTGTGGTATTAATGTGGAAATGTGCATGTATTTGTATTTTATGCTTTCTGTCAGCTTGCATAAAACTTAAAATTACCTCTTATGATTATCAATCACACAATCTATGGGTTTTGATTAAATCTCTATTTCACTAACATGAGACTAAAAGCCAACAATCCAGCGTTGAACAATTACACATAAAACTAGGTTTTCTCACCAAACGTGGCGTTTTCTGTCAAATCTCAGAGCCAATCTTCTCTTTGACCTGGTGACAGCCAGGCGTCTCCCAGCATGCCCCGGGTCACGCAGCCTGTCGAGAGAAACTGCGCCTGGCTCTGAAATCTGCCACTCCTCAATCCCGCGAGGTTAAGCGAGCTACCTCGGGTCGGGCAATTTAAGACCATCCGAAAGCGGCGGTTCGGTGGATGCTGTTCAGTACTGGCACACATTTTTGAAGGTCTAGCTGTAAAGATGGCTTTAGTCTTTCATTAACATAATGTTAGAATAGAACTAGAACTACAGTTCTAAATGGGTTTTGGTGCATTTGCACTCCACTGACTTGCACATTGCAGGGTGTAACATACAGTTCAACGCAATTAGTGAGGGTGAAATTACAAGATTTTATCAGGCAATTTAAAATAAAAAAGCAATTATTTTCAATACTTGTGATCCTATAAAACTGTAGCTTAATGCTCATGGACTTTCTTTTTTAGGCAACTTGAACACCTTGAAAAAAGCAATTACTCTCTATAACTTTGCATCTTCTAACAATCTCTTTTCTCGTCACCAGATATTTGAGGCAAAAGACAATAAACCAGGCATTTTCCTCACAATTGTGGGATCTGGATACTTGCTGGTATTGCAAGGACAGGAGTCTCTGGTAAGAAAAGTGTTTTCCCATCAATGTTCCATCCTATTCACACAACACCAGGAGACACAGTAGATACTGCATGTTTGGATCCAGCCTTATGAAGGACTGTAGGGAGTTAAGGCTTTTCTAACTTCATAGCTTTCAGAAACTTCAGATATGATTTAAGATAATGATTTCAGTGCTATGATTGCACTCTAGCGCTGCAACATCTTTCAAATGGATGCATGCGTTGTGACTCCTAACGATCAGTATCAACCAAAACAGTTGTTGGTTTCAATATGCTATATATTCTGAAAGATTAATCATTTAAACAATTTAATTAGGTATAATGGAAATATAGAAATATCAGAACCATTTATTGCCAAGTATGTTGGGCATAGAATGAATTTGTAATGGCTGGTGGTGCATAGATTTGGACAATAAGACATTTGTCAGTAACAGTGCAGTAAGAAATATGAATGAAATATGAGTACAATTAAATATACAGTTACAAAATAATATGAAATTGATATGAAGTGCACAGGCAAACAGATGCCTCTATTATGTATAGGTGTAGCCATAATCCAGAAATAGAAGGTTTGGACTGGAATACTGATGAGGAGGCAGCAGGTGGTGTTTCCCACTTTAATGACACGTAATTAACTTACTGATGAAGTCCAAAAACAGGCAAGGCAAACACAAGCAAATAAAAAATACAAACCAGGGCCGCTAAAACATTTGAAAGCAAACTAGAAACTTCTCTCAGGGGAATAGAAAGACCTGACGCAGAGACTAAATACACAAGGAGAGCAGAGTGATCAGACACTGGTGGAACCCATCAGGGCGCGGCGGGCAATCGCTAATAGAACATGACACACGGGGGGTGAACCTACAAAATGCAGCAGGAAACAGATGAAACACAAATAAATAAGACAAGGGAAGAACAACAAAATGTAAATACAACTCTGACAACAGAACGTCTAGATAACCGATCACAAAAACAAAACCAGATGAACTAACAACTGCCGTTAAAAGATTTGAATGCAGGAGATTAATTTCACTCACTCACAAGTTACAGCTCATACGACCACAACGATTCCAGTCCGGTCCGTCGCAGGTGTCATTGATTGAAACATAGTGTTGCCCTGTACCGATCTGAAGTATGTCACAGTCATTTTACTGGCGTAGAGATTATATGAAATATTAGTCCAGTGTGGGACATGACTGCTCGGCCACTCTCTTCAAAGAGAGTATCATGTATCATGTTCCACTACATTCAAGCTTCTGGGCTCATTTTAATGCAGTGATTCTATTTCTCAGTGATTATAAATGAATGAATAACCTGTATGTTAATGTCAATACAGTATAAGTAGTAACATTTCAGAACACGGCTTAAGAAAACCTGCACCATTCTCTGAGCAGCTTTTCGGGGATGTCAATAGAAATCTGCTTTCCGGGTGAAAGGATTCGATGAAGGCTGTATGAAATATTCTGCTCAAGAGCGTGACATTTCTGCTCCAATCTGATGGCATTTCATCAGATTGTTTTGGGTGGGTCATGACAAATGTCCCTGGGAACCTTTGGGGTTACAGGTTCAAAATCAGTAACATTATTTGGAATAAGTTCAGGCTCACAATGAAACATATTTGATGTGGGATGATGGGTGTAATGGATATACTTGTCTGGATTTCATTTCTATTTGATATGCCTCATAGAACACAGACTTGACATTTGTTTGGTTCGTTGCCAAGCTCAACACAGCAGAGTGACGTGTACATCTTGATTCTACAAATAGGTGAATACCTGTTGTGTACAGTGAGGTGAAACAAGGTGGGTGTGTGGTGCTACACTGCAAAAGTAAGCAGGTAAAAGTAGAACATGAACCCGGGGCTTCGATCAATTATTGTGACCTTTAGACATAAAAAAAAAAAAGTTCCATCCCCACAGACAACAGAAATGTGACGGGCCTCTCAATGTCTCATTACTGGAGTCCTGGCAGGTGACACGGCTATCTTGCTGCGCCAGGGTGTTGAGCCAGACACGTATTCAGGTCAGACTGCAGAGAGGATGATGGACGGCTCTATTAGGTCGCCGCGGCGAATGCTCCGGAACTTTCAATGCCGACAGCTCGGGCCCACGGGCCGAAGGAGACATTTGGAACTGAACACAAACCGAAATTTGCCGCATTAGAGACGATCAACGGGTTAGCGAGGAGCTCCGGCAGTCTCCTTTAAAACATGGGGTGCTTCTGAGTTCGCAGGCGCCCCCCCGACTAAGTGAAATCAGGCTTCTGATCCGCTGTAAGCCACCCGAGTAGATTCAGCCCCCCATGGCACAGTTTCTTGAACTACTGAAAGTATGGAACGCCATCATTCCTCCGATAGATATTCCCTCGTTCGGCGTGTCATGATGATACCCAAAATATATCCAAGTGGGGGGCGAGGTGAAGGCCATGAAATATGATTCCCATCATTGTTATAGTAACTCATCCTGCCCTGTCTGGAAACGTTTACATTTCATTGAGTTTTACACATGTGTATTCAGATTATTCCTTTAATTCATTGCAAACTGTACAGTGGTTGTTTATGTAATAAAGCATTTGAATATCCCACAGAGAAAAAGATAATGCAAAAGTTTTTAACAACTATATTCTTATATACTACTACACTATACTATATTTTTTCCTTTATTGTCTTTATTATTTTAAGAATTTTTTTTTTTCCAACTGAAACCAGAGACACTTTGGGTGAGCTTACCATTATTAAATTAAAAGATTAAAGTTTCGTTATTATTACTGGATGAGAACTGTAACAACCTACTTCCTGCATGGTGCGAGGAAAATCCTGAAAACATAATTACGTTCTTATTTTCAAAGTCATTTCTATATTTATAATTTCCAACCACTGGCTGTTGTTTTAGGTGCTCGTTGGATTCCCTCCGTCACAAAGCTTTGCGTAAGCCTTAAAGCTCGGCTCGGAGGTTATTAAGTAAATAGAGACCCCTGCAGACAGTTTTTGGTAACCATTTTAGAGTGGAAATGGAGTCGCTTTTACATGGAGCAGTACAGAAGACGACAATTATGTATTCCTAAAAATTCGAATGAATGAAAAAACTGTCCTCTGCCTCGGCGGCTGAAAACGTGTGTTTTCTCGTCTTTTCTCAGGACACAATCCCTTTGTTTGGCGAATCCCATTTTCTCAAAGTGCAACAGAAATCTGACAACCTGATGTTTCGATTTACTTTACAGGTGAGTCTCGGGACGCATTGCAACCCCACTATTAGTATTATTTACTCCACTTCCGTCCCTTATACCATCATTTACACTGGAGACTATAACATGCATTACACTCTGCAACGTCTTGATTTATTTTAATCCCGTTTATTCAGGCACCACGGTGAACGGCATTGCCTGAACGTCCTCCGTTTACAAAATGAGATGTTGATTTACCAAAAGCATCAGACGTACCCCGGTGTTTCCATCGGGCACAAGTTGGACTGAAAAATCCGTGATTGTGGGCCGTTGCAGGGGGAGAGCCGCATGTCGAGGATGCAGTTTGGCGGAAGGTGCCGCGCGGAGGCAATCAAGGAATGCTCGAGTGCTCTGGAGAAACTGCAGGAGTACACGTCCGTCAGCACTCACGATGACACCCCATCGCCCGCTAAGCCGCCGCCCCCCGCTGAGGCCTCTGCACCAGTGATACAGGTTTACCACTTTAGTACAGGAACCGTTTCTATTGTAGCTGTCTAGTCGAAGTGGCGTAATTGAACTTTTATAGTGTGCACTGTGGTGAGGTCAGCTCCTGCAGCAGTGGCCATGTTGTCCTCACTAGATGGCGCTATTTACAATACTGTCTTATTCTTAGAGGGAACCTTACAGCTACAGTAGGTGAGATAGAGCATACCTTGTAAATGAATCATTAGCCAATTACAAAACAATACATGACATAGAATACGTTGTGACAGACAGGAATGTGGAATAATAATATTAATTTATAAATACAGGCATCCAAGTGGCATACACTTTAGTTCCAAAGGTAATACAAAATAACTACATAACATTGCAGCATTTAACCATTTGAAGTTGACACTTTAAGGATGAGATTGTTGCTGCTGTATCACACAAATCTCCTTCATGTCAGTTGCATTCTTTTATTTACATTCTAACATGAAAAGACTCACCGCACCCTTTTAGTCGGTGTGTGGCGACTGAGTCAGCCGGCTCACAGCACCTGACATGAAGGACCTAGAAAGGAATGGACTCCGCTATGGGTTTGAATGTGACCTTTAGGGAACGGACACACCGGAGCAGTTCACAGAGCAGATGAAAGGACTTTGAGGCGCGGATATTTTTCAATTAGTAATGAAGCCATTGATTGGCCCGGTGACCTTGTGGAGTCATGCCGGGTTGGTCAAATCTTTCTTCTTCTTTGGTGTGTCAGCAGACCGGTCGGGGAAAGGCTGTGGAGGTGGACGCTGAGGGATCATTGTCCATCAGGAGTCTTACCCAGGTAGGGATTGTTTAGTCAAAAGCGAGAGCTTTATAAATTCAACATCCTGTTGAAGCACATTTCTTTTTTTAGATACAAGGTATTCAGTCACTCTCCTTTCTACATTATTAACATTAACACATTAAGTTTCTTCCTTTCAACTTTACTAAAGCGTTTGTTGGACCGTCCACAGCACATCTTGGGAGAGACTGTCGTGTCTCTACCTCGAGTGTATCACCAAGGTTCGTTGGTCCAAGTCGACTTTGAGCCCATCCTGCGTGTTTGTCTGCTGGATCCCAGCTTTCCTGCGTTTGTGGAGGAGATGGAAGGGGAGCTAGAGAAACTGCTTGAAGAGTGAAGAATCTCAACGTACGCTGGAAGCCGAAAGGTCAACACAGCGCCATGTGGTTTCGGTTTGGTTTGTGTAGGCAGCGTCTTGTGGCGTTTGAATGTTTCTTGCTGTGCTGCCGATGCTGTTGATATTTTTTACATTGCTTGTTACTGTATGTGGCCTGAAGGCGACGCTTTGAAATGGAGGCGGTGAAAAGAAGAACTTACAATACAATAAATATCTGGATTCAATTTAACATTTTTTATTCAGAAAAAAAAATATTGGTCTCAACCATATGTTTGATCGTGGCTATATACTCTGGTCCCTCTTTTCCCACCTCAACGCAGGTCCATTTCCACCGCAACACACATGGATACATCGTATTGAAAGAGGAGTCATGCAGCTACAGCAGTGAATTTTGCTATGCCAGCTTTCCAAGTGATCCCACAATATTAAAGCTTCACTGAGTAAAACAAACTGCCCTCCATATATCTATTTAAGAATACATATTGCATAGGATTATAGCCATGCTATACAGTTAGAGAGAAAATAGGAATAAAAACCAATTAATGAAAAAATATTTTTTAGATATTTTCTATCATTTAAACACTCATACTTCAACATATACAAGACACCTAAGTTACTCTGGAAAGAAAAAAAATAATAATACACTTATCATTTTTGTTTAGATAGTTAAACACACATAAGTCATTTTCTGTAATCACTCTCAATTAAATTTAAATACTGCCATCGAAGCCCTTGCTTCACAATAAAGTGGACTCATTGTCACAAAATCAAACATAGTTAACTGACCATGATATGCTGTACAAATTCTCAAGAATAAAACTAACATATATATATATATACGTATGCATATATATGTATGTACAGTATATACATATATATGTATATACAAACATATGTTATAAGGATGACTCCATAGAAAACACAGGTCATTTCAGATGCAAAAAAAGCCACACGAGGGATAACAACAGAAAATGTCTATTCTGAGTATCCTATTGCGTAATTACCTTGCATGCATTGTACATGATATGTAATACAAAAGGGATCACCTCCTCTGAGGGTATGATGAAATAAATAACAGAGACATCAACAGCACATTAAAAATGTGTACACCTTTGCGGTGATTCTAGTCATTATTCGTCATCCTGAAATCTCCACGCATGACTGAATAAGGCATGCTTAAGACAGCCATCATGTTCTTTTTGTTGCCAGTGTTATGCTGATATTGTTTCTCATAAAATGAGACAGGATATGCTTTTCTTCAAAACTGCCCGGAGCTCCGTCCACCTCTGGTACCTTCATCATGTCAAAAATGCAGTTTAGCCATTTTGTCTGTGAAAAGAGAAAATCGGGAGAAGGCGTGACCATGGATAATCCTCACAGTGAGTTCTATATTTAGCCCACATCCCCTACAACCCTGTCTTACTTGAGTAAATTGCTTATTTTGTATTCCTCTGGCGAATGTTTTTGTCCTTGTGGTTGTTTGTTGAATTTGTTTTCCTAGAAAAGAAAGACTTACGGTTTAATCACACACAGGTATTTAGCAACTCCACCCCCAGTAGAATTCTACGTTTAGAAATAGTCATATTTATGTACTTACGTGGTTATTACTGGTTCATCATCTTCGATGTGAGAAGAAAGCAGGACAGAAAGCAGAACACAGAAGTAAAACATGAGAAAAGCTAAATATCCATTTTGCATCTTTCAGCACATTTGCTGCAAAATATAAGTTCTTGGTTTTCCTTCATTTTGGTGTTAAAATACACTTTTAGAAACAAAATATCACCAAACCCCTAAAGAACCAATAGTGTGCAATCGTGCTGCTGAAATCCCGGATTGCTTTCAATACTGGAATACTAGTGTGGCCGAGTCGTGCCTCGGTGGGAAGCTCTGACATCACAGACATGGGAGTCAGCTGCTGGGCGAGCCTCGTGTCTGAGGAACAGACTCACAAGCACCAAGCAGCACACACACAATTTAGCAGCCTCTTGCATTAAAAATGTTTGGGGTTTTTTGGACCATAAAAGCCGCTAATGGATGTGATATCGCTGTGGTGCCACGGCTGAAATGGGAAGAAACAACCCGTTCTGCTACGGTGTCTTATAAATAACCGCATATTAAACGGCAAACATTCACAACATGACCTTGCAGGCTATCTGAATCCCGCGGGTTCCTGTTAATTTCCGACGAAGCATATGTGTAGGAGGGTTACAGATGGATCACTCGATGCCGTCTTTTAATCACGCTCAGCACTTTTAAGAGTGATTTCCAAAGGGCCCGGTGCGTGGGTGTCATTTTGTGACTGACTTGGCATGAAAACATGAATCTCTTCAAAGATGTCTCCGTGCATCAATTATCTGCAGTGCTGCAGTGTTAAATATCACCTTATGCAGTGTTACTTCAATTCAACATACAATTTGTAAAAGAAATAAGGACCTCTCTTATACAACGAGTGCAATAAATAACACGTCAATGTAACAGTGAGAGACACTGGGAAGAGGAACGTGTGCATATTGTGTGACGAGTTAGTCGAAAAGGTGGTTGGTGTGTAGCTTACAGATGAAAACGTGTCAACACAACAAGGTAAAATAACCAGTTACAGTGAGATATTTTCCATGCAGTTAAAAGTTGGGGGGAAAAACGGCATTAGCAGCATTCCATGGCACTGATGTGGATCAGGTTACGGCAGATATAATGTTAGGTCACTTGGAGGAGGAACATCTGACGGCGTGTCCCACCGTTTTCACACCTCACACCACCAAATCTGTGTTTACTGTAACGCCTCTGCAAGCGCACAACAAATAATGGATTTTTACTGTGTGAGATTGAACATTGCTACCCGCTGTAGCACATAAAGTCTGATTGCAGTGAATATAATTAGATTTTTGAGCGGCGTTTTGTTTTTTTCTTTTTTGCAAATCATCACACAGCAAAATTGTAATTTTAGCAACTGGGTTTGAAAGAAATGTTAGCGTCTGCCTGTGAGCCCTTTGGAGAATAAACCTGTTCGTACACAGCAAAGCCATCAGGAGACCTGAATTCATAATGCATGCAGACAGCGGCCAAATCCGCGATGCTAAAAGGAGATTTTAGAGAGGCTGAGCATCGTGAGCTCGGGGTTCCTCATTCCTGATTTAAATGGCATAAACATCACAAATATAATCCACCTCAATCGCTTCCTTTTGCTGGTAGATGGAGCCAAACTAGAGGCCATGCAAAGAGCTTACTTGAGCTTTGTGGTTAGTGTCCGTGCATGTAATCATTGGTATTGTAGTAAAGATACATGTTTTTTCTACGGTATAAAATAAATGATTTGGTGCGATAAACATATGCATTTGATTGTAGATTAGATTTGATCATGAATGCAGTTAACCACCTTAGTGTCTGGCTGTTAATAGACTGATGGTATACATTTAATATGTCAATATTAGGAAATTGCGACTGATCTTTTTACTCATTGATGGTTAATAAGTGGATTGTGAAGCCTTAATAATCCCTATTTTGAATTCCTATTTAAAGATATTTTGTCCGTCACCCTGCGGGTAAAGTGCATTTATGGAGTTAAGAAGAAAGAGCATCACATCTGATGAACACTTTAAGACTTTAAGTAGAGTCTGGAGTACAACTGTTGCCCAGTCGATTCATATCAGAGGTCGTGGTTTTGTATTTTGCTCGTGTTCTCGTTACATTCCCATAAGAAAAGAAGACACACGAGTGGAGGTCAAACAGAACCTGTGGCGACTCGAAACGCCGCTGTGCTGCCCAGACATTTCCATCTTCTCACAATCTCACCGTGCGATTTGGTCTGCTTCCTGAAGCACGGGCCATTGCTTTTGCTAAACGAAAAAAGCTGATCTTATGCAGGGAAAACTGGACAAAAAATGGTTTTCTAAAATAAATGTATCTGGGCAGAAATCAACAAAATACTTTTAGATGAAAATATGTATTCTGTTTTTTTTTGCATTCTGTGCCTGCGTCGCATTCTTTATAGATGAGTATTTTTTAATATTTTGGTAGAATTTTAATGTTAATAAACTGAATACTGTGTTTATATCTCAGCAAATATCATAATGTTTTGGATGGACTGTGGGCTCGTAAGAACATACAGAAATAAATCTCCAAAACCATGCAGGATCTGTCACTTACCACCCGTTAAGATTATGTTGCCATTTGGAAAGAAGATGAAGGGGAAAAGAATAGTAACCAATTAAGTTACATAGGCAGACTGATATATTCTATAGCTACAGGCTGATAACCTCACGTTCATGAGTCCTGCTACTCTGCAATCAGCGTGGAAACAAATGTGTCAGCGTTACCTGTGGACCTCCTGTTGTATCCTTAACACCCATTTGTATGCATCCAGGATGTGTGACAATGTTCGCCAAATCACTCAAGAAGACAGGAAGCATCCCTTTGACGGACAGTTGGCCACTACAGATTCCTCCTCTGGGAGCAGATGCGACAACTACTCAGTAGCTTTAAATGTAATGGGCTCCTTTTCTGATGACGTTAGACCTTACAGCTATTGACCTTTTTGGCAAAGGGAGTTACTCTGTGACTACCTTTGCTAATATATAGTAAGAATATTGCCTTAAAAAAGATCAGACACCAGACAAATATAAAAGTGAAATGCTGTAAATAGGCCATAAATAATTTCATATCTATCTCGGTTTTCAAAATTGACTTATTTGGGCAAACTGCTTGTAAAACGGGATTCTTTTTTTACTTACCATCAATTATGTCGTCCGGCCTCTTGCGTTTCTCGTACACGACGATGATGACGACTAGGATGATAATTTCCGCCAGCACACCGAGGAAAGGCCACAGAGGGGCGAGGTGGCTGCGCACCCGAAGTATCGTGGTCTCAGCCGTGTTTCCAATCATGTTAGAAGCGTTGCATTGGTACACTCCGGGATCGCTGCTTATATCCAGGTTAAGGACGTTGAGCTCCGTGTAGTTGTCCCTGATGGTGATGAAGAAGCGTCCGGTGGAGTTGTCGATGTCCTGGAACACAATGAACAAAGTTGATGAAATTGCATCAAGCTTAATTTGGTGAAGATGCTTTATTGGATCTAAATATTGGTCTTTTTCTCTCTCCGTTTTAAAATTTACTGTAAATACACAGTGGATTATTGTGATAAATAAATGTGTATATATACCATGTAGGATGTTCCGTCCAGTTTACGCCATGTCCAGGTGGGATGCGGGTAACCCACAGACTTGCAGTAAAGCATCGCGTTTTCCCCCTCGTTCTTGTTCTCGCTTCGCTTGTGACCGGTGACATCAGGTCTCGCTGGAAAGATAAAATAAATAAATAAATGGGATTGTTAGCTGTGTTGGCAGAGGCACGATATTTAAAGGCCACGTTTCAACTACCAGATTGCATGAATAAGGGAAGCAGGATTGGCTGTTCTGGCTGGGGGAGTCATTTGTGTTATTCATATTTATATCTATCTAAGAAAGATATACTTGAGGTAACAATCTTCTATGTAAGAATATTGATTCACTTTGAACATTCCATAGGTTTAAGCTCAGAAAACATATGCATCACATTGCTTTATTTAGTTTAAATGTAATTACTTCACATATGGGTTAATGAATTTGCGTTGTTTCGTGTTTTCTTTGAGTCCTCTTTTTAGCATTAGATAATGCTTCACTTAGATATTTAAAACCGAAAAAAAAGGTTACGTACTGGGAAAGACAAATATTATCATTTTTCCCTCTAATCGGCTGGGAGGTCTCCCCTTAAAATATAGACAAAATAATCCATTATGACTTTTAAGCTTATCAGAAAGATGGATGAATCAAACAATATTTTCCAGTAGAATGGAGGCTAGCAGAGGAGTAGAGGTGGGCTGCAATTATTCATTTAGAAAAAAGGATCATCTTGAGTTGTGTGCAGTTATTGGGTGAGGACGTACACTCCAGCAAGGGAGAATATCACTGTGGTTGAGATAAAAGCATTTGAATACAATGCATAATGAGGTCAGGGAAGAGGGGGATCAGTATGATATGAGCGTTTCCAGATGTTCCCTTTCAGAATAATTCCACCATGAATTTCACAAAAGAGATTTTGAGCCAAAGGAAAATGCTGTAAATTGGCTCTGATTAATGAATGAACTGATGATAAAAATACAACACAAAGGTTATAAAAAAGAAATGCTGTCATGTGTTATAAAATAACTAAAACAGAAGCCAAGTCAAATCGGTCCATCAATAGAACGCAGTATTTCCCAAAGGTGAGACCCAGACTCTGCCTGTAACCCTGCACAGCATCGGGAAGATAACTGTTCCTGCTTTTTCCACTAATCCTCAAAATTACAATAATTCCTTCCAAGCAATTAAGCAGGATAAGAGAGAGGCCTGGACTGAGCATTTTTTCGGCTGCGCGTGGATAATGGAGCAGGAGGGGTCTGGTGACATCACCCTACTCTAATTATGGTGCCCACGTGCCCCCCAAGCGGGGGAGTGGCCAAGCTCATTTGTGCCTCACCCCGGCTGTATTATCTCAGTGACAGACAGCACAGAGGCAACCCTCAGAGTGACGCCAAAACGGGCAAAAAAACTCCATTTCACACCGCTGACTACAATTACAGTGATTATTAATCTGTGTGGCAGACAGAGGTAAAGTGATAAATGAATGTGACAAGGATGTGTGGGGGAAGAGCAAGGTCAAAGCTGACAGAAAGGACAGGAATAAATGTCCTTTGGACATCCAATCAAATCCGTCTTTCTGAATTTTATAAGTTAAGTTAAACTGTATAAACATGGACAATCAAGATATGTTTTCTTAGTTTAAGGAACAGGTGAATTCGTCAGCATAACGTCAATTTATTTAAAAAAAAAAAACTTTGAGGGATATGGGGTACCAAATATGTATCTGCGGTAAGCTTACTATCGCAGACAATAAACTAAATAAACTGCTGAGGCAGAGATGGCTGGGACCGGATTCAGAGCCTTAATCCTACAACATCACAGAACCCTCCATCTGTTGCCTTCTGAGCCGCGTCCTGCAAGGATGATTGTGCCAAGGACACTGTAGGCGAGGGATCTCAGCGAACTGCTGCCAGAAGCGCAGCGCAAAGCTGATAACAGTGGGCTCGCTACCTGGGTCACAAAAGGTTTTAAACACCTCTAGAAAATCACAAGTGTATTTGAAGCGCTGAGGGAAATGCTTTGTTTAGATCCAGCTGCAGCGCCGGCTGCTTCAAGACATCCTTTACCAGTTTAAGGGCACGCTTTCTGTTTAGTTAAGAGAGCTTTTCTTTGGGGGGGGGGGGCACACATCAAGTCAGAGGCCTGCAGCTCGGTGATGGCTACGACACTTTGGTTTGTATGCCGACGCGTCCCCTCATCTCGCAATCCAGTGAAGGCAGGACACACACGGTCATCCCCACTGTTATGCAATAAGGCAGCGCTTGAAGACAGCTAGCGGCTCTTAAGCACAGGATTAAGAGGCGGCGTGTGTTCGGCGTGCACCGTAGCCGTGCCACGGCAAATTGGCTTAAGCGTTACACACACGCGAGCTACTCTTGAACAGGGTTTCACTCTCCCCTTTCTCCGAAACGAGACCTTATTCAAGGCGATGGCTTCGCTGTCAGCTCGAATGGTACCAAAACAGTGGTTTATCGGTTAGGTTTTGGGGTTTTATTATAAAGACGCTCCTAGTTAACTCTGTTAACTAGCCTGGTTAATTAGGTCTATGTAATAAAAGAGTAATTAGCAGCGGCTTTGGATGGTTGAGACACTGTCACTCAGCAGAAGACATGGTGAAGAGAATAAAGGACACCGGCATTTCTTTTGTATATGTGTGTTACGCATGTGTCAAATGTTCATACATTTACATACCTTTCACTTCGATTGTGGCATTTGCATTGGGCGCCATGGCGAACGTGTAAACGCACATGTACTCCCCGGAATCATCTGCCCGCGATTTGAAGATTCTACAAAAAAAAAAAAAATACAAAACACAAACGTTGAATGACAAGTCAGTTACTATGCAAGTAATTAAGTAAATACTCTAATAATTAGTCTGGACTGGAGTAGTGATCGCTTGCGGGGGCCCACAAAGCTCGGGGAGACATAATGACGTCGCACTGAACAGCAGCTCTGATGCTACACGAAAGGGCACCGCAGGCCTCTAAGCTGTAATATAATGTGACAAGGAAGTGACCAATTGGTCTCATCTCGTGTCAAGGGAAAGTCTGGTATGTCTACGGGGGGCGACAGTAGCTTTGTGCTCTGCTGAGAATAATGTGTCACAGCAGGAACTAACGACCAGTTACCACTTGAGGGTTTGGCAGATTTTGTGTCAGCAGATGCATAGGAATGGATCAATAATTGGCTTACATTGGTGATATACTGGAAGTATATTGAGATGTTTTTTTTTTTTTAAATGACCAAGTGAGGGGTTACGAAAAAATGTATATCAAACAATAGAGATTTGGAGATAATTAAAACGTAATGTATCTATATTCTAACTTTAATGAGTTGAGTTAAAGAGTTAAAGAAACATACCTGACCACTTATTGTACGTGTCCGGACCCATTTACAAACTAATACTGACAGCTATCGGAGCATAGCAACAATTCATTTCTTTCCATTTGACATAAAACATTTACATTGTGTGTATTTCTCCTTCCACTTACCCTCCGCAAAACAAGTCCTACCTGTTAACTACACAGAGGCACAACTGTTTGTCACCTGTATGACGTGTTCCTCAACTCTGTCCGCGTGTTTGTGATTTCCAGTCCGTTTTTCATCCAGAAGCTTTCCCTGTGGGGCGTGTGTGCAGTGGTGAGGTTACAGTACAGGAAGATTTCTTTACGAGGGTTGTCCGCCGAAAGGATGATCTGATCGGAGGCATTGATCTTTGGTTCTGAAAGACAGAGACAGTCAAACCGTATCATAGAAGTGAGGCTCAACACAGTTTCAATGCTCCCTGCCTTGATGTGGTAGCTGTAGGCTGTGTGCTGTTTTTATTCGCTCTGTGTAGGAGGGTGTCTATGTAGTGAGGACAAAAGTGCGCACAACAAATAAACAAAAGACATGAAGCGGACATGAAAGGGCCGTTAAGCCTCGCGTCCGACATTTATCTTTAGAGTAAAAAAAGGGTTGATTACGTAGTATTTTTGGACGGATCAACATAATTCATTTCATTTTTTTGCGCCTTTCACGCCTGCACATGAATACGGAGCAATCAGATTAGGAGAATAGTTTGATTTAAATGAATTTGATTGGATTCACTGGGGTTGGTCGGAGTTGGTTTGTGCTTGTTACTCTCGGTAGACGGTCTTTATCTACATTAATTAGATTGTAAAACCACTTATTGTTCAATGGCAAAGTCGGATAGCTGATATAGCTGCAGTCATTTTAATGTTTCATTTTAATCCAAGATGGCTGACCCTAAGGCTGCATGTAAATGTCAACCGAATATAGCGCCGTGCGATCGGAGATCTGAGCTGAAGATATATATATATATATATATATATATATATACTGACATTTTAGATAGCGGCTGAATAACTACCGACATTACTAAACGGCCGAGCACACTGGCTCCTAAACAATACCAGGGTTCATTTCTCAAGGACATTCAGGGATGTTAGGAGGTGACATCTGAGAGCGAGGCGCCCTTTGCTCTGCCTTGACTAGTGAGCAGGAAGCCTCCTCCGCTCTGCCCCTCCTCCTCCTCCTCCTCCAGGGCGGGCCAACCATGGCAACGATGGAGCCCCCGAGGGGAGGAGCAGAGAGGAGAAGCATCATAATCCTACTACTGCCTGCTGCAGCATGTCCACACTTGCAAGGCAAAGGGGGGGGGCGGGGGGGGGGGGGGGGGGGGGGGGGGGAAGGGGACGGAGACGGGCGACTGAGACCTGCAGGTGTCTTTCTATTAGCATTCATGACACCTTCTTTTTGCAATGCTTTTTCATCAATAGCTGAGGGGATATCTCCTCCCACCCCCTCACACCCCCACCCGCTCCGAGCTGAGCCGCCTGTACTATTAATAGCGTCTTTGGGACATGCGTACACACACAACATGAGGTACATAAATTAACATTTATAAAACACAGCACAGTGATCCACAGGCAATTTGACCAGAAGGTTGTTTGGAGGACGCCTCGTCGGAACTTAATACACGGTAACTGTTGGATAACGTGTCGCCGTATCAGAACGCGGAGAAAAGTGATGCGTTGTTCCAAGTGAGTCAAGATGTAGCGAAATCTGATCACCATTCTTCTTCTTGCAATACAGTGCCGCATTTAGATCAATAGTGTATCCAATTAAATGGCGGATTGATGAATAGATTCGATTGTATATCACGTAGAGCTTTATTCTGTTACATTTTGCCAAGATGTATTCAATATATTAAATCGAATAGCGACGGCAAAGATAGGCAATGTCTATATTTAGAGGAGCATTAGATCCTTGTAAAAGGCAATAATCTAATTTGTGTTACTTTGCAATGCAATCAGTGAAACTTCACATTTCATTATGGGCGTTTACATTTTTTTAATGAAAGTATGCACTGTCAAATAGCTAATTAGTTAAGGTGAAGAAACATGTCTGTGTATGTATGAGTGTGAAATACATATAAATGAATGGTGTTTGAAAAAGCTTTGAGTGTTTAGCTTGAATTCAGGTGGGCCTCCGTTTATTACAACTGTGATTTCTTTTCATGCTAAATGTAGTACTTTTGTGTGTACTTTTACTGCAAATTCAGTTTCCAGAAAGCCGAAAGAAAGGCAGTGTGACCCTGTCTTTAGCCACATTTTGGTGAAACCTGACCGATAATGGTGCAGGAGCGGCACAGATAGGAAACAGGCCACAATTGGAATCAGTTGTATTTGTCATGAATTAAAGCTGACCACAGCTGATGTTTTTTTGATGGATATGCTTATTCACTTGCTCATTATTTTTGCTGATTAGATATAAAGAACAATTTCTTTGTTAAATTTAGATGATAGAGTATCATTAGAAAATACTGCAGGTCAGCAAAGGTTTGTGCTAAAATATAACAGGCGGTGCCACTGAATGTACCTCTACTCAGATAAACCCTGTATTGGGTACATTGAAACAGTCTCATGACATGTTCAAATGTAATCTTGTAAAATGTCCTTTGCGCAGGAAACTTGAATGAATATAGTTGTCCGAGGAAGATGTTGAAGAGATTAATTTTTGAAATCCATTGGTTGTTACTGAGGATTATTGAGTGACTTTTGTTGTAATCAGAATGAATTACGCATACTGGGCATTGATTAAGTGTGATTCAAAATCACAAACTAAACAAAACCAAAACCAAACCATCGGACTTAGGCATGTTTCCCCAGCGACACTACTATACATTATGTATAGACTGTTGTATCCATGTAATCACTCACTTACATGCATATGTGAAGGGCATTCACTTCTCAGTAATGACAGAATATATTTAGTGAGGACTTGAATGGCAGGTTCTATAGGTAAGTAATATTATAATAGTTTACATTGTACCAGCCCTTACACCTTTTCAAATAGTGCTCAAACAGAAATGTGTCGGTCCAATCAGAAGAGCCAGCAAGGATCAAACACCCCTAAGCTTCTCAGAGAGCCTCAGTGCGACTAACAACATTCCACATACCCCCGTGCTCCAGTGGGCAGAGAACTGAAGCATGTACAGATTAGAAAGATCCAGTAGAAACTCGGTTTGTTCGACTGTTTGTGTGCATAGAGCAGAGGGTTAAAGCATATAATGCCATTACTGATTCACAGTCACAGTCACACACCTCTCAATGGCTGAGGAGGCACAAGGTTACACAGCGCCCAGAGACTGGTTTATTAAGTGAAATCTCTGCCTCATCCGAACGAGAGACACTCCATAGCCCCTCGCATGCTCCTTTCCTTTATTGGATTACCACACGCAAGTCATTTGAAAGCAGAAAATGTTTGCTTCTATGCGGAAAGAGTTGACAGCCGGAATCACTCTTTTACACCTTTAGCGGATCCCTCCTTGTGTCTTCTAACGGTCCCATTTACACAGTGCCCAGAGTAAGGAAACCAAATCAAAAGCACCATTACTTTAAAGCACCCTTAGATTTAGCAGGCAGCGCTTTGGAGTAAACAATCCACGTAACGGCAAGGACACAACATAATGTTGGGGGAACAAGTGCCACAAATAAATCCAGGAACAGGAAATTAGAGAAATTAGGATACAGAGAAAGAAATAATGATCAGAATATTGTTAAAGGACATACGAGAGGAAACAGAGGTTTGGCGTGGGAGGAAAGATGGAAATGTAGATAGAGACTGTGTAAAGTTCCTGGGTTTGTGGTCATTTACAACATTGGATTTGGGTGAAAACAGGGAGTTTAGTGAGTTCAGAAAAGATCCTAAATATTTACCCCAAAAATAAATGTAATAAAAACCATACAAAAGGCATAAGGGATTTAGACCAAGACTCCAGACCGGTCAGGAGTGGTTGGGACAGGGAAGTAGAAGTTTGTTCGTCATCTAAGGTGCTATAGGACATAGACCACTCACTCTGTAGCACCAAAATGGTGGCCTGGGCGCGGATCCAGGTGATGGCGGGGTTTTGGCGGAGGTCATTGCGCTTGGGGTCGTTGCTGGCCCGGCACTCATAGGTCCCAGAGTCCTCCAGTGTGAGACGCGTGATGCCGAGCACGCTGACCCCATTGGTGCCGTAGGCCGTGTTGATGGATACCCGCCGCTTGCGGGCGCCGTCCCACAGCTGCTTGAAGGAGTCAGCTCGGTTGATCTCGGCATACCACCACTGGATCTCCGGAGTGGGGTTACCAACCACGTCGCAGTACAGCTCAAAGGTGTCCCCCGTAAGCTTAGTCTCAGACATGGGCGACTTCACAAACCCAGCTGGAGAGGAAAAGTTCATCGGGATGGCAAAGGGAAGGAAAGGGTAGAAGAAGTAGGAGGGTGCGGAAATAGGCCAAGGGATGGAGAAGGAAATCAAAGAGGATCAGTACATAGAAACAGAAATAGTTGATGATTAAAGGCAAATTAATAAGAAGAAAACATCAAATAATTTATAGAAGAAAAAAAAAAAAAGGTTAATGATTAACAGTCCGTTCAGCGTCGGGGTCACTTCGCCCACCAAGGCCGTACAACAGTCAGACCGAGTCATGGCTGTCCAGTCCCAAGTCCATGCTAGCAAGCAGTTTCTCTCATATTTAACCTCATACGGAAGAGCGCAACAGTATTTTGTTGTTCGAGCAAACAGGGGAGATGGTACATTGAATCCAGTAGATGGAAAAGCACACATTACCTCACACATTACTCTTTTCGCTCATTCTCACTGAATTGAATCGGTCGCCATTACGGTTTGTTTATCAGACAGAGCGGTCACTCAATCCCTTTCTAAACTCCGTGAGCGGCAACAATCAGTGGCCCCACTAGAATGGTGCCACATATTTGCCAGTGCAGAATAAAATCTAAACCAAAAACAATTTGTCAAAATCTTTGGCTTGCAAATGTTCCCCATGACCGCTCTGTCACAGGAAGAAACGGCAAGAGTTATTAGAACAATACCAATTTGTATCCCTGGGTTACATGAGTCATTCGCAAAGGCAAAGATGTTGGTACGTTTGTTCGTGAAAAATCTGGTTTGGCGGAAGGTAACAAGACAATTTATTAAGGTTTGGTGAGAAGTAAACATCCTAGACGTAAAAAAGCACATTTTGTAGAAATGATCTTCCCCCAGTCCTGAACATTTGTATTAATCTTCACTAAATTTGGTAAATACTATATTGTGCTTGTATGTGTTTGAATTAGATTTTTTTATTAATCCTGTGATATGCCACAACAGTGTCGCATAATCCATCAATCCCGCTGTCCGTGTGTCCTGTTTAGGGTCACTGGAGTGCTGGGCTTTATCCCAGCAGGGCACATGGGTAGGTATGGTACACCCTTGACGTGTCCCCAGTCTGTCACACGCCTAATGCATTCAGACAGACAAACACATTCACACTCACGTTCACACCCACAGGCAATTTAGAGTCACCGGTCCACGTAACATGCATGTCATTGGACTGTGGGAGGAAGCCAGTGATTCTGAAGGGAACCTTGGCAATCCTTGTCTAATAGCATGCAAAAAAAAATAGCTGTTTTTTTTTTTTTTAAACAAAAGAAATATGCTCACATTTTACAGTGTTTTGAAGGTCTGCATTCTATGGACATTTAGAACATATATGTCTAAATGTCTGTAAAAAACAACTCACAGAAATTGTCGCCCGTTGATTTAACTGTATGCATACACCTAATCTCTTCATCCACATCAGCTTTTGCGGGTAACGCCAGAAATTAGGTCAACCGGCTCTCATTTTGGATAAGCCGGACTTTAAGAGCAGGTTTTAAAAATTCACATATGGTCACAATGAAATGGGAGAGTTGTGATAGAATCACACGCAGCTGACTTGTGTTCTTAAATTTCAATTGACTTCATATAAGGTGGAACCTGAATATGCATTCACATCCCCAATACATCAACCTGAATATGCACTCACATCCCCAATACATCAACCTGAATATGCACTCACATCCCCAATACATCAACCTGAATATGTGTTCACATCCCCAATTCATCAACCTGAATATGCACTCACATCCCCAATACATTACATCACTGCCATCTTATTGTATAGGGTGTTTGACAAACAGCCCCCGTTTTATTCTAACAACATCCAAATATGAAATGCAGTGGCATTAAAAAGAAAATACGATCCATGAGAAATATTACCACAACTGTGAGTGTGCCATGCTGGGCCTGGGCGTCTGCTTGATTCATGACCCTGTTTCACATCAGTAGTTAGCCCAACAATACACTGCCGGCCATAATGAACCTCATCCAATGACAAATCACCTGGGCCAGAGACACTGAGAACGTGAACCACACGTGCTTGGATAAAATAGGAAAAAAAAGACATTGCCGCAACTCTGCCTTGACTCGCTGTAGAGGAAATGGGAACAAAGAGCCTGTGGTCTCCCGAGTGTTGGACTGCGTGAGGCGTCTAAATACAACAGCTTACAGGCCCTCCCAGATCTGTCTGCCCTGCTCAAAGCAATGCATCGTGAGCACATGAACAGATAAGCCCCGTGGACGCCTGACGAAGGAGTATGAAACAACTGCATCCAGCTCTCCCGCACAACGAAGCCGTGTTCCATTTCAGAGATGAATGCCAATCAAAAGGGTCTCTTGTTGTCTGCATTCTGGGCATCATTTTGCATACTTAACAATACGAGGATTTTAGTTAGCGCCATGGTTACAAGTCTGTTACTTGACACCAGTTTGTGACTCGGATGAAGATGAGTTAGATGATCAAAAAGAAAGAGGGGATACTGTGGCAAATGCATTATTCCTGTAAGAGATGTGTCTGTGGATATCTGGTGCTTATAACGTGTGTTTCCGTGTGCGATGCCTAGAGATATGCAGAGTAATTAGCATTTGTTTCTTTTGTCTGGAAACATCTGGGCCCATCATGCTCACCCCATAATCCCACAGGGTGAATCCAGGCCCATCCGCCCACACTGTTAAAGCAATATTTCAGCAGAACATTTACTATGGCGTTCTTTACTATGATAGGACGGAGAATAGGCTCGGCACATGGCACAGATAACTAATGTCTGCCATGCATAAGTGCTCATAATCACACGGTAGTATCTGCTTAAAAAAAAAGTAATGTTCTCCAAGGTGAGGACAAATTAAATGGGAAAAAGGAACAGATGACTTCATTTAAATTCAGGCTGAGGGAGGCTGAGAGGGGAACAACACACAGAACAAACTACAGACAACACTCGGCCAATCAGCAGACCAATTTTTGGTGTTGTTTAAACAAGGAGCTTACACACTGGCAGGGAAAACAAAACACTAAGCAGCCAGCCGGTACTCATACATTTCAAAGGCGTGCTGGATAACGAGAAGTGGCAAAGAGAGGAACAATGGAGGGTGGACAGATCTCATCTTTCAAGTTCATCTTTAGGTTTCGCACCATCTCATGTTTGGACGAGAACAGAACTGATGTTGGGTGTATTTATATATATATATATATATATATATATATATATATATATATATATATAGTTCTCTAACACACAATGTCTAGATGGACAAAGGAAATAATAAGACGACAAAGTAAGTGAATGCCGGTACTTTTTGTTCCCATGAACTGAGACATATGACATATGACACATTTGCTCAGCTGCTAATTGGTATTTCTTGTGAACCTAACACATGGGGGAATGTTCTGTATCAGTGGGCTCTGGTGGCGGTAAATTTCCAGAGAGTTTTGGATGCATGGGAAAATAAGCTCGGGAATTTTGACAATTTTGATAATTTTATAACAGGATATTACTGGGAACTTGAATGTAGTTGAGAACAAGACCATGACAGCTTAGCTCAGCTGCACCCTGGATGCAGCTGGTTGGGAGAACATTGCGTAATAAAAATGTAATTCAAAACTATATTTTAAAGATGTATGGAATGCAGCACATTGTATGTAGCTTTTTGACGTAAACCTGAAAGGATTCAGTGAAAAACACTGAAACCAGAGGCTTGAGAAGCTTAATTAATTTTACATTTAGAAGTGGACTTATATGTCAGGCAGGCGTAAGTTTGCAAAGCCGTCATGATGACTGTACCAAAACAAACAAACACCCACAAAAACATGAGCCAAACAGACCTGGCTGTGGTGGGAGTTTCAGTTGCTGCCAGGTGCTACAGGTTAACGATAGCAGGGGGATGGTGGGTTGCCATGGTGACTGGTATGCAATCAGACCAAGGAGGTCAAAAATGTACATGATGCGGCAGATGCTTTAACACAAAATAATGAAATCCCTCACAGTGCCATGAGCAACTTTCCTCCCTCATAACACGATGGAATCCCAAAATAGCCTGTAGTTTTTTTTGTTTTTTTTGTGACAAGCTCTGCCTTATGCCGTGTGGAAGTCACAGTCATTACAGCCCACATACTCGACTGGTGTAGGTAGAGAGGAGAGTTCCCCTGAGCACTGACGGCAAGCCACACACCACCAACACCACGCATCCTGAGAGTGAGTCAGCTTCATTCCTACAACCAGAGAGAGCATCAAGTAGGAACCCCTCCGCTCCCCCGGAGTGGTAATATACGTCTAAGAAACATATTTTGCTGAGATTTAAAGGCCATCACTGGTGTGTCAGTTATTCTTGATGATTTCTGGCCAGAGCAACCCTGGGAATCAAGATCACCAAATCACCAGTCACCAAACACCTAAAAGATTCAGATCGATACAACTGACTCTGCCCTAGTAGAGGCCACGAAAGTAGTCAAGGGGGAGTCGGTTGTCGTTCATGGACCGTTTGCACACGCCCTCTAATTTGTGAGAAAATGCCATAAATCAGAAGACCAGTTTGAGTTTACTGTGAGTGTCTATTGATCAGCCATATTATCTTGATCATTTGTCACAATACGTTTATATGGAGTCAGCCTTATACATCAAGATACATGAAACCGTCAACGTGTTTAATTGGTATAAGATCGTATCATTCATTCTTCAACATGTTTGTATTGTAATATTATTTACATTCATTGATATATTTGAATTAAACCTCTCTATTACGCAGCAATAGTCGTAAAAAAACGGCAATGCACAACCAACCCAATGTCTCAAAATAAATGACACAGAAACATTTTCCTTATTTACGGGGGGGTTAATACCAACTTCACCTTACAGTGTGTTATACAACACAACTTCCACAGACTTTCACAGGGACATGAATCTTGTATTGAAACAAATATTATATTCTGTTGTTAAGCTGAATATGCACAATGTTATGTGTCAAAACATGTTCCAAATTTAAAAGGCAATTTTGGTGGTTTTGCATGTTACAGCCAATAAACTCAGTCAGAAGTACAACAACCGTTGTACTAACAACCGTTTATGTCAATTCTACACAGTCTTAGCTCTCAATATTTACACAGTTTGAGACGTTTCCTTCTGAAGCTAAATTGCACTTCTGCACACTGAGACTGGCACATGCTTATATTAAATGTTTTCTGTTTGACGGATGAAACATGTACTGTATTCCAAAGGGGATACTTTTTCATTTTACCTTTAGTACATGCTGCTGGGCCCTTAAAATGACATACCATCGCATGCATTACGCATTCAATTGGGATTTACTTCTTCACTGTAACACTGCACCTTGAACTTTGATGCTCTTACTCATAAATCTACATAAATCAATCATGCACGCTGGATTGCATATAGCAAAATATCAATGAATGCAGGAAGTCATCCAGGTATTTTCACCATTTACTGTATTTGTTTTAGTATGTATTGTGACATTCTAAATCTTAATTGGCATTCTAGACTGAATACTAGTAGTATAATAGTGTATTTACACATTAGTGAAATACCCTAATCAATAAATGTGAGGTTTACTATGATGAAGTACTTGTGTCATTAGCTTAAATGGATGTAAAACATTGTATGCATGGACATAACAGCATGTGCAGTACACGTGACAGTTTTTGTTGGAACTAATACATGCAAAATAGCCAGTGGAAGTAATAGAAACCCCTTTTCTGTCATTCATACATTCAATATTGACATTGTCATGTTACACAGGATTAGAGGTCATCAAATGCGTGTGAGCCATGTACAGTAATAGAAAGTTTACTCCAAAATCAACAAATTCACCAAGTATTCCCCTGAGAACTGAAAATGCAATTTGGAATATACACTTTGAAGGTGTGATGTGGGCTGTGCAGCTGAATTTGTGCCAGAGAGGCTGTGGTGATGTTAAGCCTTGAACACACAGCTTTCCTCACTGAAATATCAACATATCCCTCGTTTGATGTCACTGCGTTGGAGCAACGTGACCAAATATTGTGATTACTTTCAGAGCTGAATTTCTAGAGGAGAAATAGGCGTTAGGCCCACCGACTCCCTTTGGCTTGCAAAACTTAAGTCTGTCATTCAGCGCACAGAAGAGAGGCAACAGTTTAATGAGATTTAAATCCCTGTAACCCCTGTGCTGGGTAGAAATGCTCTAATCCCATCCTCTAATCACAACCCGTGAGCACTTCCTATCTCTCTCTCAGAGGTCAAAACAAGGGAATTCAAATGATTTCATGTTAAACCCAAGAAGCACCGAGACAGGTCATCATGGGACACGGCTTGTCGTCATCAAAATCACAAAATAATTCTAAAATGAGAAAAACACATTTTTGGGGTGAGTCCACACTGCTAGTTGTTTCCTCTAAGCCTCAATAAAAACCCTCTTTGTGTTCTGCCTGTGGACCCTTGTTCGGCACACTTAACTACTTACTGAACTGGGCTGTGGCTAAATAGCGGAAACATCCAGATGTGAACGTGTGTAACTGTATAACCTGCATGCACGATCAGCAAACATAACACATAACATTGACACATCCCCTTCAAGAAAATAAGCAATGTGCATGTAAATACCTGCAGTGGGTTTTATACTGTTTGATGCGGCTGCTAATCAGTGCGGCCCGTATCGGATTTCACAGTGGGCAGGCATGACTCAGTATAAGAGCTGGCTTGAGTCCTACAGCATATTTTCCAGACTTACAAATGTGCCTTTGACCAGAGCTCAGGCAGAAACATGATAATGGACAAGGCCGCTGCATCTTATTGGTCCATCGATTAAATGGTATGTAGAACGCTTATCTGAGAACACAACGGTGGCGTTAGAAGCATTACACGGCCACTTATTGACAATAAAAAAACTTAATTGCAGTCCATATTGCAATATACGTGGGCATGTAGTGATCATAAAAAAAAATAAGTCGGCAGCAGGATTATGCTATGCTTCGTGGAGGGGCGGGGGGGACTTATGTAAGACCCAAAGCACTTCCTCAGGTCGGCCCCAGCCACCTCCTCCAACAGCCTTTATTTTCCCTGCATAAAGATCCCATCATCTCTCCGCTCAGACTGTTCACAGCCACCTAGCGCGCCTTTAGAAGGCTGTGCAGCTGTGCACAAGGAGGCCGTCCATTAAGAGTTAATGAATTCACTTTCACAAAAGGACCTTAAAGCCACAGTTCTCCGTGCTGTGCCTCGGTGGTAAAAATAGAAACGGGGCAGAATGGACGAATGCTATTTACAGTCCTCCAAATATCTGTCGCAGAAACTGGCCACCTATAGCAGGCCTACTTTTCCTTGGAAATGAGGAAGTAAAGAATTCCCGTGGCTTCCCAGATACAGTGATTACATCTCATGGACTTATAATTATTATTATCCCTCACGCAATGCCCTGAACTCTTTAAAATCTTCGATTGCATAAGAAGCGTTGCACCTATTAACTTGAACCGGAACAGTCAGCTTTACATAAAATGTCTTTTGGATGCATGCAATGTGAGCAAATATCAGGATATTACCAACGGTGTGAAACATCTGTTACTGTAATACAACCTGTGAGGAATGCTGGGTCTATTTACTGAAAAATAAATGCCTGTAGACTTGAGGATTCATTGACAGGGGGGCAAACAGTCTGTCTCCTTCTGACCCGAGGCTGTAGCTGTGTTTCTGTGGTGTGACGCTGGGCCAAGACCATATGAAGTGTTTGCAATGCCTTTGCTTGAGCTTTATCAAACAATAGAGGGCTTATCGGCTATTTGATTGTCCAGATAGCAAGATCAGAGAACATCTTACTGAGGGTGCACACACACTTCAAGCAACCCAGAGAAATGAAGAAGGGAGAAAGAAAATAATTCAGAGGGATACTATTGTTATATAACTGCTGTGGTATTTCTTTGTCTCCTCAAAGATGTATGCCCTCTTGTAAAATGATCTATATATACTTATTTTACATATATTTAGGACATACATATTCTGGAATATTTCCCATTTCAAATCCTAGAGAAATAAATCCATGAAAGCTATAGTGAGGTTTTACACAGGCTTCTCATCACAAAGCATTTCTTATCAAGTCTTGCATGGTCGGTTTCCAATTATCCCACGGAAAAGACGAAGTGGACATTAAGCCTTACAATTTGAATTCCTTGCTTTATTTTTATCAGAAAGGGGGTGCTATCATGTCAGTGATACACACGATTGGTCGACACAGTACCTTAATAAATAATCTTAATACCGGAAGTGATTGTTCCATTTGGACATCTGAGCATCCACATCTTCACAATCATCTCAGGGTGGCTCAAGGGACCCATGGAGGGTTTTTTTTAAATAAAAAATAAAAAACTCTGCTTTAATCTCTTCATGAGTGGCGGCTGATTTGTGTGCCCCTCTGGCTGATGTGATTCAACAGAATCTGAAGTCAGGACATGCTGTGTCAGAGGAGGGCATGCTGCTGACATTTACCTCAACCAAATCATGCCATCCGTACTACGCTTATTGCACGGTGAACTTTTGAAATAAAAATTCCAAAAGCAGCATCGCCGTTTAACAAGTCTTTTTTTATTCCCAGTCTTTAAATATTTGGAAAGAACAAACAACTGGTGATCAAACACGATAAGCCTGTTATTTGTGTAAGCGTGTAGTTTAGAAATATAAGCACAGGCGGACGAGAGAACGATGAACTTAAGCTAGCATGGCAGCGAATGTGGCACATCAGGGGAGTAGATTTGTCAATCAAAAAGATGCACAGGTCCAACAACCGGGCCACACACTGCCTGATGTCACGCACCGACCGCCAAGTCAAATTCCTTGTGTGTCCGACATATTTTGGTAATAAATGTTCCTGATTCCTGCTCAAGAAGGGCCAGCTGTTAACACTCGGGCCTACACACACACACACACTGGGTGTTGGGTGTGGATAATATGATGCTAGATCAGCAGCCATGGCAGTTTAGTCTTGCTTGACACACTCTGCCCCCCCCCCCCCCCCCCATTGCCCATTGGACTATACAAACTGCACACTGGCCCTGCACAAAACTACCCAGAGGCGACTAACAGCATGTATGTAAATATTAAGAACTTCTTCCCAGGATGCTACACGCCTCGCTTTTGTCCCCAGCAACACAACTTATTGTAAAGACATTTAAAAACACACTCAGGATGCATTGTTGCCCTCGCAGACACACCTCACGGTAAAAGCCCCGTCGAGTCAGTTGACAGTAAATAACCTTGCAGAAAAATATGTCACAACAACGTCAGTTTTCTTCCAGATTCAATAAAGGGTAAAAGTTCCGTTTTGTTGTCGGTGACTGAATGCCATCTGTTGGCGTCTAACTGTGGCCTTGTCGGGATGCGCGGAACTAAGTAGTGCGCGTTAACGCAGTCATTCCCCCCCTCCAAAAAAACCCCTCTTCGGGAAACATTCCACTCGGGCGTGCACGCACAAAGTCAAGTCACTTCCCCTTCAACGCGACGTGTTACGAGGATGCCGCGGCTCTGCTTTCTTACCGTTTTGAGCCGAGATGAACGGAAGCATCGAGTCCCACAGAAGGACCACCGCCAGCATCACTGCGTTCGGGTGCATCGCTGGGGCACGATGAGAGTACCAGGGGGGTCGGACGAATGAGGGAATGAGAGATCGTGTATTAATCACAGGATCTAGAGAGATGGGCCCAGCATAGCGCCGGCTTCCTTCAGAATACTCTGCCGAGGATGATTTACCATTAAAAAAAATTAAATAAAAATCTTATAAAGAAACGTCTCCGCCGATTCAAAGACCTTGGACGGCGATGGGTGAAAGGTCCGGGACGAGGCCAGCGGCTCAGGGATGCCGATGTGCGGCCATAGGCGGTGAAGAAGCCGCGTCGGATTGCAGAGGAGAGGTCTTTGGATGTCAGGGAGATTGTCCACGGCGTAGTTGTGAAGATTCAAAGATGCGCAGACCGATGCGCATTTGCGCGCTCACGACCGCGGGTTCCGGTGGTTATTTATTCAAATGAAAGCAGCGCAGAAATGATTCCCGACGTGAGATGATGTATCCGAAACAGAAGTGTGCTCCGCAAAAACAAAAACAAAAAAAGAAGGAGTAGATGCTGGGAGGAAAAGCAACGACAAGCTGCGCGTGCCCTATGCGCTCAGGATGAACACACGCGCGCGCGCACACACACATACACGCGTGCACACACCTACACCCACACGCATATAACATATATGTGCATGCATTGCTGTTTGTGAAGTCGAGCAGACAGGTATTACGTGCCTCCTCGGCCCTCGTTCCCCTTTACGCGCAGACACAGCGTTCCGTCGATCTGTCGTTTCTGCGCGCACATGTTTTATCATCTACCATTTAGACGGTTTGGTTCCTGCTCATGCAGTATTTACTGCAGGCGACTCTGGCAATAACCACATCGCACATATCTATCCACACTTTACAACATCTCCTGCAATATGAATGTAACTGTAACTCGTGACCAGGCATGTTGACCATGCAGAGAAAATGACTGAATTAATCTATAGGCTGAATTAGAATCGCCGGATTAAAAAAAAGAAAATTGCAATAGCTATACAGACAAACTTTCTCCAGGCATGACTTAATGTGAGAAGATAATAGGGATGCTCTTGAGTTCGCTCGGCTCATTTAATAAATTATGCCTCACATCAGTGGCCTGAGTGTTCTCAAGGTGCATGTACCACATCCCCTTGAAGGTTTTAATATGGCCTCCTGTAATCCTCTCAATCCTGAACCAGTGCTGCTGCATGGGCGACCTCACGTGGCCGGTGGGGGTATTGTAGGCCCGCTCAGCACGCATCGCGTTTTATAATCGCAGACAATGAATGACAACTTAAAAGGCAATTGAGCGCGTGCTACATTTACGACTAGGATTGGAATTTATTATGAGTGATTCAGTCGCTTTTTTTTAACAAAACGCCCTTTACCTGTTGTATTTCTTTCTTTTATTTATTTTCCGTGAACATTTTGGGCCAGTCATTTTATTCCTGTATTTCTGTAAGTCACTGATAAATACTTCTCCTCATAAATGCATTTAACTCCAAGCATTCATTCTACAAAGGGGCCAGACTGTGCAGAACAAACTTCCCTCCACTTTACCGCCCTTCCTCCAGTTTGTCCATCGGAGACCACATTTAAAATGTAACCCCACCTGAAACCTCGCGCGGACCAATCGGCTGTAGCAATGTCAGCGGGTTCGGCACACCCTCCTTTGTTCAAAACCAATCAGAGTGGATGTGTGGCCTGTTGCCCGAGGGGAAAACATACCCCCTGGATGCGTTAATTACGCATCACTTATCTGTTGCCAATGTGTTCACAAAGCTGGACCCTCTTTGCAGCGGTTGCCTTCACTTTTTGGTCAATCTAGTATGGAAAGTAGACAACAATGGCTCACCAGGCTGAAAAATGAACTTAGCAACAGTCCTCTGGTGTCAAATGTGGCTTTTGGCTTCATCCTCATGGGACTGGAGAAGCTGGTGGAGCTGGAGTTTGAGTGTCCTTGCAACCCTACATGGAACGGAGTATTCTCATCAGCGTTCTTCATCATTCCTGCCGTCATGGCCTTCACCCTGATGCTGATCATTCAAGGATGCAGATTTGACGCGTGGTGCAGGAAAACCCTTTCCCTCTCCAGCTTCGTTCCTGCTATCGTGTGGCTTATTTTGTTGTTCCTCGATGGACAATACTTTGCTTGTGCCATGACAGACTGGAAGGGTAGATTTGTAATAGTTGACAAGGCAGCTCCGCAGAAGTGGTGTGAGCCGACTGGTGAGGGAGATGTCACCCCACAAGAACTGATGCTCCGCTCACAGCAGCTCTTTGTTTTTTCTCAGGTGAGTTGAATGCTTTCTAGTTTACACATTTCTGATTCATGATGAGTGGAGTAAAAACACCTCCACCTGAGATTCGTTCAAAAATGTATATATATAGATATTTTAATCCAAATGGAGCCTTTGGAAACTATCAATATAGCTCTGTTAATACACTTTGATAAACAAGAATGCACTTCTCCTGTGGATGTTTACTAAACAAAGTGTTGCTCTGCTCTTTTGTACCCCAGGTTATCGGCATAGTCCTCCTCATTTTCATCTGTGTGGGTCTCATAGTGTATGTAATCAGAGAAAGCTGCGAACAAGAGGTGGAGATGCAGGATGCAGATGTAGCCGAGCTCACTGTGCTTAGGATGAGCTCCCTGCGGACCAGGACGTCCTGAGGGGGGACTCACACCACCCAACACACCTGCCCAGCAGGCATGGACACTTTGTAAATACCAATAACAGACTTTATGACTTTTCGTAACTGTTGTTAAGAAGTGTTGCCCACTAGACAAGTTTTAAACGGTCAATTATTACTATAATTATGGATATTATTTTTCTGTTTTATCATTTAATATGTAACCGGTCTTGTGCCTTTGTTCATCCCATACGCCAGTGCTGCAACTTATTAGCTTTTGAAGGGCTCTTTAAAGGAATAGGTGATTATTTTTGTTGTTTTTTTTGGTGGGATGAGAAGATGGATAATATCACGTCTGTCCATTGAATATGACACTTCATCCAACAGTTGGTGGGCTTAGTTGAGCGGAAAGTTTGTAACCAGGGAGGAAGCAGTCGGCCTCGTTCAGTCCAAAATCTAAATAGTGCTTGTATCTCCAAAAATGAACAGCTATCTCATTAGTCTGATCTGTACAACAGTAAAAAACAATAAATAAGCTGTTTATGAGTATGCATAAAAGCAGTTGCTATGCAACCAGGAAAGATTAAAAGTGCGGTAACCCCACCGAGAAGCAAGGAAAGCCCCCCCACTTTGACATATTCAGTGTGTGTTTGACAGACAAATAATCATCCAGAAGCAAAGTCTGTTCTGCTCTCTCACCTTTTCAACGTTTTACAAACTTTTTTTTTAACATGGAAGTTATCTTTGTGCCTTCTGTATAAGCTATAATTGTGGAATCCAAAAGTCAGGGAATATTGATCTGATCTACTATTATTTGACTTGTATAAACCCAATAGTTGGAGGTGTATGTTCCCAAAATGAAGACGTTCCATCATGATGAAATTTCATTTGAAATGTTTTGGTTTCTCCTCCTGGATAGCAACTGTCTCCAGACTGAACTGATATTCCTAATGATTTACCTTTTGGACAGCTAGAGGTGTAAACACATGTTCATGATGCTCTGTATCATGGTTGCAACCAGTTAATAGTGGGATGTACACAAATTCTGTAACAGGATTTCTAGTGTTTATCTTTTTTATTGTTTGATATTAAAATTATTTATTTATTTAAAAAAAAAACATCAGGGATTTTTTTATCAGTCACATCAGAATAGCATTTGGTCAGTTTCCACCATCGTAACAAACCTGCACTGTCGGTAACTTGAATGTGTCTTAACATGTGATCAACTCAGCTGTGAGAGTAATGTCAGTTGTAAAATCGTTCTACACACACCAAAGTGGGTCAAATCAATATGGTAACATTAGGAATATCTTTTCAACTTTGGACTTTTATTACTGTAAATGCCAACATTTGCTAAGACAACAGCAGAACAATCAGCACAGCACATGCTACAAATAGTATGCTATCTGCTGAGGAACACAAAGCCTGTCTGTAGATTCTCAGGTTAGTGACACCTTTGTGTCACCTTTGTGCGCATCCTTTATGGGGAAGAGACTGGTTTGGAGCACGTCTGCTGAAACCTACACAAACAGCAGTTATGACACGGAGGAAGTTGTTGTCTTTAACCCCTCCTCTTTATTCAGTGTTAAGACACAGCAGAGCACCACGCGCAAACAAATGGCGTCCCTAAACTCATTCATGGAGTCATGGGGCACTTTTCTGTTATGAGTTTTTGAAAATGTAAAATCATATTCCAGTGTTCCACAGTCAGTTAGAAACATTTTGGAAATTAGTGGAGCAATACATTCACTGGGTCCTTCATCCTTGTCCTGCATAAAAGGATGAACTCATGAGCATTACCCACATATTAAGAAAAAGATTGTAATTCCTTCCCTCTAAAGCAGCAATTTTGCAGCCCATTTGGACATGTTTGTTTAAAAGGCTTTGTTAAATAATGTGTAATAATTGTTAAAAAAAACAAAGAAAATCAGCCTTAAACAGCTATGTTCTTCTGTGTTGACCATTGATTTTTTAATAAAATCAAATGTTTATTTCTTTGAACTAATTAAAAGAGAAATGTTCTGATTATCCACATTTGATTACAATAATTCTTGAGTCAATGTTTTTTTTAATGTGTATACTGGAATCATATTGCATGGTGATTGCTACTGAAATTTTTCTCAATCACATACATGATTTTTTCTCCTCAGACACACGCAGCCTAAACACCTTATCAATGCAGCTAAAGTGCATATAATTATCAGCACAGCTCCACCTAAGAAGATAACCACATCAACAGAGTGGTAGGAGTACCAGGGCATCTTGTAGGACTCTGTTCTCAGGTGAGCTGCACCTTTGTGTCTCATGACAAACTCCATCCAGAAGAGGGCGTTATCCAGCGGCTTCATCGGCTGATCTCTGCAGCTTGGAGAGCCTCTGCATGTTCCTCCTGTAGGAGGGCTCGTTCAAAACTGTGGCTGATGAGAGTGGACTTTGTGTTTGAGTTCCCTCGGCCTACCATACCTAATGTTATCTATATGGGAATTTTCCAGTGTAAACCGGCAAAGCCTCTTCTTGAACACTTTGTACAGAGTTCTCGGCACACCCTCCTTTGTTAGAAACCAATCAGAGTGAAAGTGTAGCATGTTGCTGAGGGGGAAACATACCCCTGGATGCGTTAATTACACAATGCGTATCTGTTGCCTATGTGTTAACAACGCTAGACCCTCTTTTGGGCTTTTTGCAACCGTTGTCTTCATTCTTTGCTCAATCTAGTATGGGAGGAAAGGCCGGATTAAACCAGCTGCAGGACGCACTTAGCAAGGGTCCTTTGGGACCAAACGTGGCTTTTGGCTTTATCCTCATGGGACTGGAGAAGATGATGGAGGTAAAGTTTGAGTGTCCTTGCAACCCTACATGGAATGCAATATTTTCATCAGCGTTCTTCATCATTCCTGCCGTCATGGCCTTCAACTTTATGCTGCTCATTGAAAAATGCAAATGTGATACGTGTTCCAAGAAGGAAGAAGAAGAAGAGAAGGCGTGGTGCGGGAAAACCGTTTGGAGCTTGGTTCCTGCTGTCATGTGGCTGATTTTGATGTTCCTAGATGGCCAATACTATGCTTGTGCTGTGACAACCTGGGAGGGTAGATTTGTAGTAGTTGACAAGACAACTCAGCTGAAGTGGTGTGAGCCATTTAGTGATGGAAATTTCACCTCATCAAAACGAATGGTCCTCTCACAGGAGCACATTTTTCTTTCTCAGGTGAGTTGAATGCTTTCTAGTTCACAGAATTCTTGTGATCAGTGGAGCAAAAACACCTTCCCTTAGAGTATGCCTGGTTGAAAAAAATGTATGCTGTTAGCCTATAGAAACTATCAATATAGCTCTGTTAATACACTTTGATGAACAATAATGCATTTCTCCTGTGGATGTTTACTAAAGAGTGTTGCTCTACTCTTTTGTACTCCAGGGTATAGGCATAGTCCTCCTCATTTTCATCTGTCTAGTGCTCATATTGTATGTAATCAGAGAAAGCTGCAAGCCGGAGAAAAAAAATCAAGGAAGCAGCAATCCAGAAGTGCCAAGCGAGCCTGGAGAAAATATCCCGTTGCAGCAGCGTGAGCCGAATGCGGACTGAGGGGGACTTACTTCAGCCAACCCACCTGCCCTGCTGGCATGGACACTTTGCAAGAAGACATTTTCATTGTGAAGTACTATTTTTTAAATACAGGAAGTTGTTCTCTGCATTTATCCCACACTGATTTTAATTTAGTATTGAGTGGTTTGCCGTAATTATGAATGTTATTGGAAAGGGTTTCATTTTTTTTACCATTTAACATGTAACCGTCTTGTGCTTTGTTCATCCCATATGTCAGCGCTGCGACTTCGCAGCTTTTAAGGGCCTTTTAAAAGAATAGTTTTATATTTTTGCAGCTTTTTGAGTGGGATGAGGAGATGGATAATATCACCTCAGTCCATTGAATATGAAGATTCAATTCCAACAGTTTAGGCTTAGTTGAGCGTAAAGTGTCAGGGTTGGGTAGGAACGCAGGACTCAAACGCAGACTTTTAAAGAAAAAAATACTTTAATAGTCAAAAACTCTCACAAAGTAAAAGGCCAACAGGCAAAAACACACACACACGAACCGGGGACAAAAAGGCAGGCAGGAACGACGAACATCCAGACAGTAGACAGGGACATCAGTGACAAAAGACAATTATGCCACCAGGGACAAGCAACACACACTGCTTAAATACACAAGGGAGGTGTAGGTGATTGGACACAGGTGGAAACAATCCGACAATCACAGAAGATGACAGGACCAGGCAGGAAGTGAAGTTACCTGGGGACACAAGTGGCAGAAAAATACAAAATAAGACAGGAAGTGCACCACACAAAAGAAAAACATCCATAACTTCTGCAATGCCCTTTGCTCTGAGTCTAGAAAGGTTGTCGGCTCGAAAACAATGGGAACATCTACGATTGGAACTCCATGATGATGAATATTTTTATGTCCCAGGAGGTCATTCTGTGTCATCGAGTGTACAAGTATACAGTATTGTTGCCCAGAGGGGCTGGTCGGTCCCCTTTATACCTCCAGATGACTTTCTGTGGTAATTTAGCAAAAGCTTCAGCTATTTCATCAGCTAGGTCATTGGGAAACTCCAACCAAAGTCCCAAGTGACATGATGATGAATCCATGTTCTTATTCCTTTTAATGTCCCGTCCATCAGAGCTGTAGAAGTCACTGATACATATTTATTCTGATAAATGCATTTAAATCCTATGTATTCTTTCTGCAAAGGGCCAGTCGGTACAGAACAAACTTCCCTCCACTTTACCGCCCTCCCTACAGTTTGTCCATCAGAGACCACAAAATGTAACCCCACCTGAAACCTTGCACGGACCAATCAGCTGGAGTCAGAGCTGTCGGCACACCCTCCTTTGTTAGAAACCAATCAGAGTGGAGGTGTCACATGTGGCTGAGAGGAGACCATACCTCTGGATGCGTTAATCGCACATCGCTTATCTGTTGCCAATGTGTTCACAACTTTAGACCCTCCTTTGGGCTTTTTGCAGCGGTTGCCTTCATTTTTTGCGCAATCTAGTATGGCAAATACACAACCATGGTCGCTCACCCAGCTGAGAGATGAACTTAGCAAGCATCCTCTGCTATCAAATCTCTTTGTGAGCTTGATCCTCATGGGACTGGAGAACCTGATGGAGCTGGAGTTTGAGTGTCCTTGTAACCCTTTATGGAATGGAGTGTTCTCATCAGCGTTCTTCATTATTCCAGCCGTCTTGGCCTTCATCTTGATGTTGGTCATTCAAAAAGCCAGATTAGACGCATGGTCCAAGAACACCGTCTTCTGCTTGGTTCCTGCTTTCGTGTGGCTGATTTTGATGTTCTTCGATGGCCAATACTTGGCTTGTGCCATGACAGGCTGGAAGGGTAGATTTGTAATAGTTGACAAGGATGATCAGATGAAGTGGTGTAAGCCAAATATCACCTCAGGAGAACTGGTCACCACACAGAAGATATATGCTTTTTCTCAGGTGAGTTGAATGCTTTCTAGTTTACAGAATTCTTATGATCAGTGGAGCAAAAACACCTCCCTCTCCGAGTATGCCTGGTTGAAAAAAAATATATATAGACCTATAGAAACTATCAATATAGCTCTGTTAATACACTTTGCTAAAGAAGAATGCACTTCTGCTGTGGATGTTTACTAAACAGTGTTGCTCTACTCTTTTGTACTCCAGGGTACATCTGTGGTCCTCATCATCTGTGTGGGTCTCATAGTGTGTGGAATCAAAGGAAGGATGGTAATTCAGGCTAGAGGAAATGTTGCGTTGCAGAGGCCTGAGGCCGAGGTGGTCTGAGAGGGACTTACACCGCCCAACACACCTGCCCTAATGGCATGGACCCTTTTTAGATAACAGACTTTACCATGACCTTTTGTAACTGCTGTCAAGAAGTGCTGCTTGAAAGTATTTGCCCACCACTCAGATTTGAATTTAGTATTGAGTGGTGAATGATGCTGCCGTTTCCCGAGATTTGTGAATTATACCTGAGATGCAGTGAAAGGAATTTCTGGACAGCTAGATGATACTTCACTCATGACCTGGCAGAATCGTATGGCTTTAGATATGCTCCTTGCTGAGAAAGGCGTCTTTAAATGTTCGGAGATTTCTGTAGTACATTTATTCCAAACAGCCCCTGATGGAAGTATCACGAAGGCCCTAGAGGGTCTAACCACACTCTCAGAAGAATTGGCAGATTCGGGTATTGACAACGCATTTGGGGGTTTCTTTGATCGTCATTTTGCCATCCTTTTTTCCATCCTACCATCCATTGGGTGTTTCCTCGCCATTCTAGTTACATGTGACTTTTGCTGCATTCCATGCATCCACACCTTATTGAACAAACTGATTGTCACTGCGTTAACTCAGGTGAAAAACCCACCACTGTACATGTTACTGCTGTCTCCCTCTGACTCCGATATTGACAAACTGCATCCCGACTCTGACAAAGACGACCATTACGATAGCAAAGTATAAGTGTTTTTCTTTGTTTAACTTTTGTAATTTTTTTCACATTCTACTTTGCATGTTTTGTTAGTACTATTCATATTCTATTTTTTATGTTACTATACAGGTTTTATTTTTCATGGTTTATTTTTCAGGTTTTGATTGTCCATTTCCATTTTAGCTTCTGTTTTTTTCCACAGGGTTATTTTACACCCTTTGTGTGATTATTAAGTGTGATGATTAAGTAATCAAAAGGGTGAAATGTAATGATAAAATAACTGCTGTAGTCATAACTCTGCCATAGTGCTGTTTTTTTATTGGGATGAAGAGATGGATAATATGACATATGTCCATTAAATATGATGCTTCAGCCAACAGTTGGTGGGCTTAGTTGGGCGTAAACTTTGTAACCAGGGAGGAAGCAGTCAGCCTGATTCATTCACTCGATGTGAGTACTTTCCACTGTCACTGTGATACGTGTCTGTGACAATTTCTCTCCGCTTGCAAGCAAAGAATTATAAGAAT